CTTCTATTGGCAGTTTTTGAGATCCCATGGGTTCCCAGGACACTTGTATGTGCCCTGAAAGTTTCCCACGAAGATCTCTTTCAGGTCCGCCCAACTTTGGATTCTATTGGGCGAAAGGTGTTCCAACTATGTTCGTGCTGAATCGGCCAGGAACAATGGAAGGTTGCGGATAATGAAATCGTCATTATCCACTCCACCGGCCTGGCAAGCAAGTCGATAATCCTCGAGCCACAGTCCGGGGTTCGTTTCCCCGGAGTATTTTTGGGATGTTGGTTGGTGGTCAGTACTGTGGCGGGACGGCGACGTTAAGGATGTGTCGGCCGTAGGCCTGAGGTCCCAGCAAGTTGGGGCTTAGGCTTCGGTCCTCGTCGTTGTCGTAGCGTCTGCCACGACGAGGGTGGTAGCCATGGCTAGCCCCCTCCCTCGCATCGCCATGGGCACGCCTTCAGGAATCAAGGGTGTCGCGCGCATCACGGTGGTGGCCGAGACACTCATGCACCTGGACCGCATTGAGCGGCCTATCGCCTTGCGGCGCCTGGTGGACTGACGCATCCTTGTTGGGTCGCTCCAAGGGCGTGCGCTGAATGGCGTCGAGCTTGTGTCATCGAGTGAGAGAGCTCTCGGCCTGCTGCGCCGCCGTACGCTCGAGTAGCGTGCGAATCTCACGATGGGCCCGATGATCCTCGGGCATCGCAAGCCCCAAAAGCCCCCGGAGCAATGCCGCCACAGCGGCGATGTTCTGGCTCACCCAGGTGAAGTGTGGGAGGGATTCATCGTCCTCGATGATCCTTTGGTTCACGTCGCAGGCCATGGCACGTGCACGCCCACCGTCTCCGTGGCGCTCGATCTCTTGATCGAGCTCCGCGCGTTCCTGCTCGAGCTGGAGTCTCGCTTCCTCGAGCTCTTGGTGCCGGGCCTTCAGCTGCTCTATCTAAAGGTGAGGTGGGGCCCCTACGTCATTGAGGTCGTTCATTGGGGTGGCCTCTTCCTCATGGATGCTTTCGACATGTCCCTCGGGCGTACCTGTCATAAACATTCACGAGAGGGGTGATGGCTCCCCCTGCTGGAGTCAGAGGTGGAGGGCGACTCCATTTCTCCTGCGAGGAGGTCGTAGAAAGATCCCGCGACATATTCGGTCATCCCCACGGACTCGTCATTCGTGGGGGTGGAGGAGTGCGTTGCGCCACAAGGTGGCCAACGGTCTCTACGGCGTCGCGGAGACCGAACGGGAGCGCTATCGGGGCGCTCTAGATGAGGTGTTCTGGAGAGAGCAACTCTTCTCTGGCAAGCTGCGCCATGACATTGGCGAACGAGAAGGTAAGGTGGCGCAGGTCCTCCCGGGATGGTCGGGGTCCTAGGAAGGCACCGAGCTGGTGCTCTAACCTTCCGTAGTCGAAGCTGAGGAGCTGGTCACTCCCGAGGGCGCGGGCCTCCGGTGCGTGCAGCTGCGGCTCCTCAAGCACCTCGGCGATCGCGTCGAGGCCGGCGGAGTGGAGAGGTTGGACGAAGATAGGAGCCCGCACCAGCTCTCCCTCCGTCGTGACGATAAAGTCGAGGTCCCCGAGGCGCACGTGCGTGCCCGGGACTCAGCTGACGTGGTGACTAGCCATCCGAGGCCTAGTGTGGATGTTGAGACGCGTAAAAGGCCCCTACCTGGAGCGCCAACTGTCGGTGTTTTGAGTTACCACCAACGAGTAAATTTCTAGTATTGCATGTCTGGCTTGGATGGTGTGCTTAGAGGACACGAGGTTTATACTGGTTCGGGCAGAACGTCCCTATGTCCAGTTTGTCGCTGCTGCTCGTGTTAGTAGCACGGAAAATTTACAGTAGGGGTTACAAACGGGCGAGAGAGGGACATGTCCCAAGTCTCTGGTGGAAAGAATGAACGGGTGCCGAGAGCTCGGTTGCTGCTCGGCCGTGTGCTTGTGTTGTGCTCTGATCGGTTCGAGGTTCGTGATGGTTCGATCAGGTCTGGCCTGGATCGATGCGATGCCCTTCATGGGGCGCCTGCTTTCACTTTTATAGGCCAAGGGAAAGCATAGGTTACAGCGGAGGGAAAGAGAAGAACGAGAGAGAGAGCCGAAGACCCTCAGGGTCGCCGGGTCCTTTTGCTTCATGCGGGTCGCGCCAACACTGTAGATGTCAACAGGGATGGCGCCACGTCGCGGTCTTGTCCGTCACTGGCGCCATGCGTAGGTGTCGTCTGCCGGTCACGGCGCTCCACTCCGTCCTAGTGGACGTCGTGGTGAACCGACGTGCCTGTCAGTGTTCATACGAGGGTTAGGCACCGGTACGCCCGACACTGTTCCTGATGTGAATCCCTAGGCATGGCCCGTCATGGCCACGGGTTACATCAGGACATGCCGATCTCTTCCTTGGCGTCAGAGTTTTGACCTAGGCCCATATGCTTGGACCTGGAATGGTTGACGACGGTATGGGACCCCATCGGGCAAGACGGAGCCCACACTCGAGGGGTTGGGCGAGGCGGAGATCGCGGCCTCGGGGTCGGGCGAGGCGGAGCCTGTCCCCAGAGGTCCGATGAGGCGGAGCACGTGACCTTAGGGTCCGACAAGGCGGAGCCTGCCCCCAGAGGTCGGGTGAGGCGAGCCCGTTACCTCGAGGTCGGGCGAGGCGAAGCCTGCCCCCAGAGGTCGGGCGAGGCGGAAATCGCGACCTCAGGGTCAGGCTAGGCGGAGCCCGCGGCCTTGGGGTTGGGCGAGGCAGAGCCCTCCCCCAGAGGTCGGGCGAGACGGAGCCCGCGGCCTCGGGGTCGGGCGAGGCGGAGCCCTCCCCCAGAGGTAGGACGAGACGGAGCCCGCGGCCTCGGTGTCAGGCGAGGCGGAGCCCTCCCCCAGGGGTCGGGCGAGGCGGAGTCCACGGCCTTGGGGTCGGTTAGAGCTGTAGTCGCGCTCTTGACTGCTCGGATGAATCAATGTTGATGGTCATTAACTCCTCCTCTTCGGGTACCCTAGTATTGGTCCCCGACAGAATGCCACCAACAATCCTAGCTCAAAGGCTCTACTAAATGAGTTCACACAGCTCAATGAAGGAATCCAACATGTGCAGAAAATAAAGGGCGTACCCAGTGCAGAGAGTTCCCGCTCTGTGTGGGGTCTGAGGAAGGGTGTTAGTGGCAAACCTTACCCTCGTCTGTGCAATGCGAAGAGACCGCGACTTGAACCCGGGACCTTCCGATCACAGGCGGTAAGACTCTACCGCTTGCACTAGGCCCGCCCTTCCAACATGTGTAGAAAATAGTAGACACAATTAAAGACAGCACACAGATTAGCTACTCAGGCTAGGAACTCCAACAGTTCTCAGGAATGCATATTTCCCTTCTCAAATGTAAGCCATGCAAACAGATGCCCAATTAAAGAGGCATTAGTGCATTACATCATGTAAAGTGTAGAATGGAATCATCTGGACCTCATTGATTTAAGCTGCCATTAAAATTAATGCAAGTTACCTATCACAAAAACAATTTACGAATTTTTATTTATCACTATTTTATCATTCTTCTTAAAATGACATCTTGTTCTTATTATTTGAAAAACAAAAAAAATCATGTATTATGATAACATAGGTATAAGCTAATCTTACTAGTTTCAAACATATCATGGTCAAACTTGACCATATATTGTGATATCAAAACAAAAGGAACACCAAGTGCAGCATCAAATTAACGATCAAATGTAGCACTACGATGAATATAACCAACATTTCCAATCCAAACAAAGTGTATGATAGTCCCTCTCTGTTCTGTACAAGCTCCTCTTTTATGTGTCACCACAGCTCGGTTGATGTGGTTACAACCGCAACTTTAACACTGGTTGTGACTTTAGAGCAAGAGAATAGATGGTGCTGCTGTTCAAAACTTGTAGCATTGGGTTACTTTACATTCAGTAGTAAGGTCATTCTATCATGATTGACACTCCACATGCCTCAACTCATGACATTCAATTTTGCAAAAGATCAGATCACACCCAAAGACATTTCATCAATTGTCATTTAATTACATGCTTACACTCAAGTTTCCAGTCCCATGCAGTGGATTACCTGAAAGATATTTGGTTCACCTGCAGTAGGTACGAGAAACTGGGGAATAACATTTTTTTTTCATCTTATAAGCAAAGAGAACAAAAAAAATAGTGGGATTATTACTCTGCAAGTGATTATTACTGAGAAACATCGCAAAATAGATTGCTGCTGAAGATATAAGAAATATTTACTTGAACAGAACCAACATCCATGTCAGAATGCTTCATCATTGATTGCCAGAACACCCAGTACCAGTGGTTTAAGTCATAACTGTTAACATGCTTGCTCAACTTTACGCGGGTACACATTAACACTGCAATGCAACAATATAATATGCTACTCTATAATTGTAATCAAATCAGCATGCAAATTGAATATGACATGCTAGATGTCCTGAAAGGTAGCCTATTGAAATATATGGGGGCTGTTGACTTGTTGGTATGAGAAACCTCAATGGATTGGTACATCAAAGTATCATTCTATAAATTTTACTCATATGACACAAATCCTTGTTTTTATACTAAGTATTCTATGCTTATGAGTATGACGAATGACTTAATGAAGCAATGGTGGACCAACACGTCCCATTTTGCCAACCAAACACCCAATTGACACATCAAATAAAGCACAAAACAGAGATATTATGTGAACATATCACTAAAAGATGTTGAAACTGGAAAATGAACCTTATCATGGCTAGTTTTCAGTACAAGCAACAAATATTTAAATCCAACCCCAAAAGTGAAACCCATCAAATGCAGGTTCCAATGGAACTACTCAAAAACATACGAGTAATCAACTTGGTGCAAACATATAGCAATATTTGCAGTATGTCTATTAAGTATATCCTTGAACACACTTATACAGCTGCATGTTCTGCATAGCCTTTCAGGTAAATTCTTTCTTTCTTTCTTTCTTTCTTTCTTTCTTTCTTTTTTGTTGTTGCTGCCACCATCAGAGCACTAATGACTCTTGGTGCCCACATCCATCGGATCAACCCTTGTCGTTGCACGCCCAGCATCCATGGGAGCAATGGATGCCTCCTCTCCAGATAATAGCACACCTCCAGCATCCATCGGAGCAATTGGTACCTCCTCTCTTGACACTACCAAACATCCAGCATCTGCAGGGCAATTGTCTATCCCCTCAACCAAAAGTACACCTTGAGCTTCTGCTTTCTTCCCTGACACAAGATCCCCATCTTTTTCAGGCCCATCTTCTGTCAAGTCCCTAGACACCTCAACTGCAGTTTCCGCAGACCCAGTTTCAAAAGGCCTGGCCTTTCTTGGCCTGCCACGCCGTCGCTTCTTCACCAATGCATCACCTTGGGTTTCTGCAGTTTCAGTTTCCAATGGCTTCTTTCTAGGTCGCCCACGACCTCTCTTCTCCATCAAAGGAGTACCAAAGGATTGCAAAATCCTAGCTTCAACTTCATTTTGCATAGGCCCACCTTGGTCTACAGCTTGTGCAGGCAGAGCTTCATGTTGACCCTCAGTCATCTGTGCAACTTTCAAGTCCCCAGTTTCCAATGTCTTCTCCTTTCTTGGCCTCCCACGGCCTCTCTTCACTGTGGATGCAGGAACCCCTGCTTCTGCAGTTTCGGTTTCCAGCGGCCTCTTTCTAGGACGCCCGCGGCCTCTCTTCTCTGTAAAAGAAGTACCCAAGGATTGCAAATCCCAAGCTTCAACTTCATTTTGCACAGCCCCAGCTTGGTCTGCAGCTTGTGCAGTCAGAGCTTCCTGTTGACCCTCAGTCATCTTCTCTGTCAAAGAAGTACCCAAGGATTGCAAAATCCTAGCTTCAACTTCATTTTCCATAGGCCCAGTTTGGTCTACAGCTTGTGCAGGCAGAGCTTCATGTCGACCCTCAGTCATCTGTCCACCCTTCGAGTTCCCAGTTTCTAAAGTCTTCTCCTTTCTTGGCCTCCCACGGCTTCTCTTCACTGCTGATGCAGCAACCCCTGCTTCTGAAGTTTTGGTTTCAACGGCCTCTTTCTAGGACGCCCATGGCCCTCTTCTCTGTCAAAGATGTACCCAAGGATTGCAAATCCCTAGCTTCAACTTCATTTTGCACAGCCCCAGCTTGGTCTGCAGCTTGTGCAGTCAGAGCTTCCTGTTGACCCTCAGTCATCTTCTTCTCTGTCAAAGAAGTACCCGAGGATTGCAGATCCTTGGCTTCAACTTCATTTTGGACAGACCCAGCTTGGTCTGCAGCTTGTGCGGTCAGAGCTTCATGTTGACCCTCAGTCATTTGTGCGGCTTTCAAGTGGCTAGTTTCAATGCCTTCTCCTTTCTGGGCCTCCCACGCCCTCGCTTAGTCAATGAAGCATCCGCGGACTGCACAGATTCAGGTTGCATCTTCTCTTTCCCACCAACCACACTGTTACTACAGGCAGATATGTTCATGGAGGAACCACGCAAAGCATTAACATCAACAGCAACCCTGAGCGGCCGGACAGGCTTACTCTCACCACTGTGGGGCATGGTAGCAGGTGGCGGTGAGAGAGGAACCGTATTCCTCTGTGGTTGTCCACCAGAAGGTCCCTGTTCAACTCCCACCAACGGCGCCACAGCGGGGTAGGCATTCTTGCGCGGGCGTCCGCGCCCCCGCTTGACCCCAGACGGAGGTGGTGGAGCAATAGCTTTCAGCAGCTGTGAAAAGGAGGAACGCACAGGGACAAGGGCGTCCTTCCGCGGGCGTCCACGCCCCCTCTTGACCCCAGATGGAGGCGGCGGAGCACTTGCTCCCTGCAGCGGCGAAGGAGAAGAAGCCACCGGGTCTAGGGCGTTCTTGCGCGGGCGTCCACGCCCTCGCTTGGGGCCCTGAAACGCCGGAATCAAAGCGGAAGGGGCTAAATCTGGGTTCTTGCGAGGCCGCCCCCGACCACGCTTCTGCCCCGGAGCAGGCTGCTGAGTGGCGGTGGAGACGAAGTAGTTGCCAGAGACGAGGCGAAGCTGGCCATGGGACCTGAGGCTGCGGAGATGGACGGAGAGGAGGGCGTCGTGGCGAGAGTGGAGGCCGGAGAAGTGGTCGGCGATGTAGTTGGCGATGGCGCTGCGGCTCGACCCGCCCGGGTCCCGCAGCTCCGTCAGCGCCTGCATGATCATCTGCGCGCGCATCCGATCCAAACCATCGGGTCGAGATGCAGCAGCAAGTTCACTCCAACGAACCGAGGAGGGAAACGGGGAGCGGCGACGATGGAACAGGGAAAAAGGAAGCTTACCTCCTTGTATGTCGGATGGAGACGGCCGGCGGAGGGTGCCGGTGCCGCTGACGAAGGCGACGCGACGGCAACCACCATTTCGCCTTGCATCCGCTAGGCTGCTGCTGTTTCTTCTCTCTTGTTTTTCCCCTACTACTCTACTGGGGATTGGGGAAATGGGGAATTGGGGATCTCCTGTCCTGACTGCGTGGCGGCGGATAGGAGGGGATAGGAGGAGAGCGTGATTGGCGCGGGCGTGATTGGTCTACGGCACCAGACCAGGCTCGTCGGATGCAGGAGCTACACGATTGGTTGGTTGGACTGCACTTTGAGTCGGGCTAATGGGCCCGCGTAGCCTGGCTCTTGTTTCTAGCGGGCCTGTCCAGCGCTCCGCAAAAGTTTGACTCGGCAAGTGGAAGTTTGCCCGAAGATTGTTTGGTTTGGGCTTAAATTCGACACGCCTGATCTTAGCCAACTTATAGTTTCACGAAAAGTGTGATGACCAAAATTAAAAAAAAAAACTTGTGGAGTTTAGCAAGAATTAAGTCCATGACATGTGAAACAGGGTGCTAAAAAGTGTGATATACCATAGTCACGATAATAAACCAAACATATGTCTTAGAAACTGTGGCAAGTCTAACTTACAGCTTGGCAAGCTATGCCATGAAGCAAACAAACCAATTCTTCCCCCACGCTACAATAGCCACCATACTATTCTAAGGACGACTTCATTCTTCATCGAACGATCCGCTTAACCCCTCTCCTCTGTCTTCTCTCCCAGCGTCGAAGACAAGAGGGAAGCCCACCTCCTCGTTGTGTGGACCCTGTTGAAAGGTTCCTGTGTGGTTTTGGTAATTGAGTAACAACTTAGGTGGACTAATTGTGCTTATGTGAGATACACAGGTGATTAGTCCACATGTACATGTGTGTGAGCAACATATGCCATGAAGGTGGAAATGGCTCGGAGATGTTGCAAAGCTCACACATGTGATGATGAATGAGCTCATTGCACATGAGACATGACATTGAGTCATATGATCAAGGTGGAGAAGATCAAGATGAGACTTGGCTTGATGGACCGGTTGCAAGAGTGAAGGGCAAGTCGAAGGCTTTGGAGCGATGGACCGCGTGGCGGTGAAGCTTGAGGAAGACTTGGTGCCGATGGACGAAGGCAACGGTGAAAAGCAAGTGAAGTCAAGATCGATGAACCAATATGATCACGTGATGATATGAAGTGGATCATATCATTGTTGATCGTGTTGGTGCATGTGTTGCATCGACACTGGAGGAGATGGAATGGAATGTCCAAGGCAAAGGTATAACCTAGGACATTTCATTTCACCGGTCATAGGTGTGTAGAGAAGTTGATGACCGGGTTTATGATAGATTGTCGTACTATCAAGAGGAGCAAACTTATTTGCATATCGGTCATCTACTGCCACTCGAGTGATCTAACTTTGCATCTTCGCTAGGATCGAGTGGCGTGGCAAGTTGAGTGGCTAATCTTTTGGAAAATGTTTATGAAAAGCTAACACACATACACATGGTGGTGTACACTTGGTGGTTGATGAGGACATCACTTCTTCAGAGGCACCCGCTGATCCTCCAACCGTCAAGTAAGGTCCAATGACACGGGCTCGAATGCGACAACTCAATTTAGAGGTGAGCTCGTTCTTAAGCGATCCTTTTCATACTTTTGAGAATAGACTACTACCTAATGATGTTATCTTGATTAGGAACATTGAAGTGGGTCATGAAGGACTTAGAGGAAGTGGTGGAGGTGATGATGACCAGCAAGGATGTCCAACACAAACCGAAGGCCCAGTCCAACATGAATTCGAGTCTGCCTCGGCCTACAGGACCAGTCTGCCTTAAACTGGTCACCCAGGACGCATCCGGACTCCGTTTTCGATGATCCACATATGGATGGAAAGCTAATTTGATAAGGAAGCCAATCCAAGTGGTCTCAGATCAAAAGCTATTCGGAATCAATGGGAATAGTGGTCACAAGACAGCGTCTAGAATCTACCAGGGTGCTGCGACACCGTCTTTTGGTCCGATGGACCATGTATCGTATTTGGGCCCATTAGGGGCGCGTCCAGGGGTCTTGCACGACCCTAGAGTATTCATAAACAGTCGTCGCTCCTCCATTAGGGTTCGGGTTTTGCTTAGATTATTCTGTCAAGAACAGTTTCGCCGTTCATCGATTTGTGAGACCCCAACTTCGTGAGATAATTATTCATCTGCAATTTGGTTGCGTTCTTTCTTGTTCTTGCTTGTGTTCTTCATTGCACAGCCAGGGATTAGCCTTCTTAGCGAGGTCAACCTGGCCCGTGACTTGGTTGATAACCAGAGGAGCTATGGTGCTAAGATTACAGGGTTCGATCTTTCGATCTGAAGCCAGATCGGTGTGTCATTCTCTGCCACAACGATAGTTACCTCTACCTGACGAAAGATCGGGATCCCCGTCCCCATTATGTGGTAATCAGAGCTAAGGTATACCATCAGATTCACTTTTATTTCCTAGTTTGAGTGTTTCGCATTCGTCCCATAGTCCAGTACCATATTCGTTTTTCTTGTCCTAGAACCTTCCGTGCCATAGCCTTTGCATATTTCTGTTTCAGAGTCCGTCGTGTTGAGTTTGTGTCCAGGTCGAGGTCTTGTTGCTGGTTAGGTCGTGTTAGAGTCTAGTTCGTGTGTTTTTCCCCATCGTTTTCATCAAATCTTTGCTGTTGTGACCAGTTTTGTGCACATTGTTCCCGTTTTGTCATCTAATTCGGAGCCAAGTCTTAAAACTGGTCTAGTTTTCGCATACGAACTCCGATTTCGATGTTCTATATATCAAAATCGATCAGAAATTTTTTTGGATCCGTCCATCCCCCCGTTGTCGGGGTTCAAAATTTTTAAATTGGACAAAAAGTGGTCACAAGATTCTCTTTTCGTGGTCACAAGGTTTTTATCGATTTTGATCAAGTTTTCTAAAAATTCCACAGGCCACGTCTTTCACTTGTTTAAGCTCATATTTTCTGTGGTTACTTCTTTTGTGCTCCTAAGTAAAGGAAAAATATCAAAAAATAAAATAAAAAGTCAAAATTCCCAAAAAAACAACGACAGCCCAAAAAATAGAAAAAAAGAGAGGCAAAAGAGGAACAATATTTAGAGGAGCACATAGAGAAGACCAAAGTGAGATGTGTTAGCGTGTGTTGTTTGTTTCCTTGTTTGTGTTGCTGTTTCCATCCACTATACTTGTTTTTTATACACCTGTCACCTTGCTATCCACCATACTTTTGTCACACACCTGGTACTTGGAACATTTTAGACCAGCAACGAGAACAAGTACTTTGGACTATAATTCAGCATTACTTTCTGTTACTGACTTGTGTGCTAGATATACATATTACTCTTTGTGTGCCTTCCAAGCTCCACAAACTCTTCAGATCAGTACAGACAAAGGGCCTTGCAATCTCGGTACCACTGCCTCACAGGTATCACGAACCAGCCGCCGGTTGTACCGCCCACTGCTTGTGTTGGTAAGAACTTTGTAAGAGCTTGGTAAGATGCTTCCACTTGCTGTGAAAAGTGACACCACTGCAACCACGTAGTCATTTGGTAGGGATAACTTTCACCGTTTGTTCCTGTTTTTGTGTTTTCAATGGCAGGAGGTGAACATACTAGAGATAACAATCCTAAGGGTTTCAACGAGTGTGTCAGTTAAGAGCAACTACAAGCTGTTGTAGAGGATGCCCAAAAAAGGATGAATGAGGCCGTTAGGAAGGCCGTCACTGACGCACTCATTGAACTCAACATTGGCAACAGCATGGAGAGATTGGACAAGCGAATTTCCACGCTAACCGACAAGGTTACTGAGTTGGAAACCTTTATGGCGGGCAACAACGACATCTTCGACAGCAACACCGATGGTCAAGACACGGTGTATGATGCCAACGGGAACATAGGTCGAGCAGCCTTCCGACAAGAGAGATTACGACAACGTCTTCGCCGCAACACGACAGGTATGGGTGGTGTCCACCACCGTCAAGGTAATAATCACCGTGTGGCCGATGATCCTTATGCTAAGATTAAGTTCACAATACCATCTTTTTTGGGTCATTATGATGCTGAGGGATATCTTGATTGGAAGATGATGGTAGAACAAAAGTTTAGTGCCCACCTTGTACCTGAGCAGCATAGAGTTAGACAAGCTACTAGTGAGTTTAAGGATTTTGCCATTATTTGGTGGAATGGGCTAGCTACACAAAATGCTTTACTTGGTACGTGGGAAGAACTTAAGGTAGCTATGCGTGATCGTTTTGTTCCTCCTTCTTATCATAGAGACTTGCGTAAGAAATTGATGCGTTTAGAATAAGAAGATAAATCTGTACAGGATTACTATGGTGAGCTCCAAAAGGGATTGATGCGCCGTAGTGTTGTGGAGGGAAACGAAGATGCCATTTGTCGCTTTTATTCGGGTTTGAGGCGTGAGATTCAGGACATTGTTGATTATAAAGAATTTAACACTGTCAACCAGTTGTTTCAGTTTGCTATGCTTACAGAAAAGGAATTGCAGGGGCGTGAACAACAGGGCAAGAGCAAGGTCAGCACCAGCACATACACGCCACGCTCGGCACCATCTTCGGGGCTGACCAAGCCAACCACTTTTCGGGCGCCTCCACCAGCAAGCAAGCGACCAGCAGCCTCTACAGTTTTCGCTACACCTAAGGCACCTCCCGCACGACCTTCAGATTCAGGTAAAAATTCTTTGCAGGTGCCTACCAAGAGTTCCTCATCTGTTGCATCGACGGGACGCACTTCGGGTATTCAGTGCCACCGCTGCCATGGCATTGGCCATGTGCAGAAGGACTGCCCAAGTCAACAGGCATATATTGCTACAAAAGATGGTTACATCAGCACCTCTAACACTGAGGATGAAGAAGACCAAGATGCAAATGAGGAGGACGGCGAAGTCCTTGGTGACGAGGCCACGACGGCCTATAGGAGCATCATTGTACAGCGGGTGCTCAGCTCACAAGTCCAGCAACCTGAGAAGCTACAACGCCATAACTTGTTCCAGATTTTCTTCGTCATCAGCGACCGTCGTG